CCAGTGTTCAGGGATATCATCACACACCGTGAAGCCTCTGGTAACTGCAGTACGCTGGTGAGAGAATGAGAGAGAACAAAGCAAATAACACTTCGTTATGGACGCAGTTTGACCTCCCCCGAAAGGATCCCCTGAAAGGATCCCCTGAAAGGATCCCCGACACTCCGAGGGCTTTCCCAACCACTGCTCTAGAAATTACAGTGTATGTCTGAACTTTTCAGTCTTCCTAGAGTTCACGCTATACCACTTTATGTAACGTGAAGGACACTTGTAACTTATGCGTTCATCTCTCGTTGCCTTTTTTTTTTTTTTTGAGAGGTTTTTTCACTGTAGGGCGCGTGCGCTCGCCAGACAGAGAGAGACAAAGAGTCAGAAAGCGAGAAATCACCCCCCAGGAGGGATGGTCACGCCGCAATCCCTTCTCCTCCATTCTCCTCTCAGGATCTTGGGCACGCACGCACACGCACCCGGCTTGAGTTTTAAGCCACCAGGTCCGGGACGTGAACCGCGGTCGACTACGTGGGAGTCCGGCGACATAGCCATCACGCCAACTGCTGGTTCCCTCGTTGCCTTTTTTTAATGATAGTATGTACATGAGAGAGACCCTCGACAAGGTTTCATTATGATACGATCCCTTTTCTACAGCCCTCCAGCTCCTCAGGACCCTGGCTTCCTGCACACACACCCAGCATGATTTCAAGGGACCCAGGGATCCAAACCTGTGGCCGGTTATACGGTTCCCAGCCTCACAGCGCACTTGAGTTCCCGCTACACCACGGCACCAGGGACCAGCCCTCATCCTGTAGGTTACCTCTGCATATGCAATAACCTCCGCTTCGATACACCGTTGTAAGTTCTGCCTTTAACAGTTATGTGTATTTGTGAAGATATTAAGAAACTATATATTTTATATTTACCTAAAAATGTTATCATTCTCTTTATCCCAGTCCTAGGTCTGCTTTTCTATTTTTTTTTTTCTTTTCTGAAGAACTTTCTTTGGCATGTCTCATAGGACACATCTGCTGATAACGACAGCTCTGTTTACTCTCACCTGAAAATGACTCGATTTCATCTTCACTCTGGAAGGATATTTTTATTGGAAAAGTAACTCTGGGTGAACCCTTTTGTTTCTTTCAACATTTCAAAGATGTTCCACTGTTTTTTGGGTCAATATTGAAAATGTTCGTCTCTGTATGCAGTGTGTTCTTTTTCTCTGGCTGCTTGTAAGACTCTCTTTATCTTTGGTTTCAGAAGTTTGACTTCCTAGGTATGCTTTTTTCTTTTCTTTTCTTTACTTTTTTTATTGCCAGAGAGCACATGCACTCTCCAGAGAGAGACAAAGCACACCTTCCATGGAACATGGCTATGCTGCAACCCTCTTTCCTCCATCCCTCCATCCTGTCGGGATTTTGCACATGCACATACACACATGCACACAGAGTTGCACATGTGCACACATACACACCCAGTGTGCTTTTCAAGCAGCCAGGCCTGGGATTCGAACTGTGATTGGCCATGTGGGGCCTGGTTTCCTATGCAGAGCACTTAACTATGTGCTATGGGGATGACCCTACCTTTTCATTTCAGCTCTATCTAGTTTTACTGAGCTTCTTGAATCTGAAAGTATATATCTTCCACCAAAGTTGAAAAACTTTCAGGGACCAGCAGTTAGCATAATGGCTATGTCGCTGGACTCCCACGTAGTCAACCACAGTTTGCGTCCTGGACCCGGTGGCTTAAACTCACGCCGGGCGCGTGTGCGTGCGTGCCCAAGATCCCAAGAGGAGAATGGAGGAGAAGGGATTGCGGCGTGACCATCCCCCCTGGGGGGTGATTTCTCGCTTTCTGTCTCTCTGTCTCTCTCTGTCTGTCTGGTGAGCGCACGCGCCCTATAGCAAAAAGCTCTCAAAAAAAAAAAAAAAAAAAAAACTTTCAGTCATATTTCTTTGAATATTTTTCTGCATTATTCTCTTTCTTCTACTTATGAAACTTCAAGAACTCATGTATTAGGGTTGGGTTTTTAAATTTTGTATTATTATTATTTTTTATTGTTCCACAGGTCTACGAGTTTCTGCTCATTAAAAAAAAAAAAAACTTTTTTTAGGACCCAGCAGTTAGCATAATGGCTATGTCGCTGGACTCCCATGTAGTCGACCGCGGTTCGCGTCCTGGACCCGGTAGCTTAAAACTCACGCCAGGCACGTGTGCGTGCGTTCCCAAGATCCCGGGAGGAGAATGGAGGAGAAGGGATTG